CTTCAAACCCAACCACCCTTCGTTGCCTGTTCATGGTGATCATTGGTGCACGCCCCCGTCGTCACACGATCAGACAAGAGCCTCTACCCAAAAGCAGACTGCACTGAATAGCTTCATGAGAAACCCTGCTCCTTCGGTCGTGACAACAACACAATACCAGCCAAAGTTGTGGCCACTGGCCACCCTAACTCTCCTTTCCTTTTTCATTTTGTCTTTCCCCTATCTTCACATGCACCTTAATTATTCCACATTTCCTATGTGTCAGTCACCTGAATTTGTTGTTTTGTTCAGGGGATGTGTGGTCCATCCATTGTTCTTCAAGACCCGTACTTTGATCGTTGGATGCTACACGTCGCCTGAAACTAGCCATGTTATTTCAGGCACCTGAAATATAGCAGGCGACCTGCTATATTTCGGCTCCGAAACCACGTTAATTACATCTCACGCATCAACAATGCAAATGTAATGTTCACTCCAACCATATGCATGGATCTCTTTTCCTGCCATACTCAAACATATACGCTTCCTCGTTCTCCAAAAGAAGTCACACATCTCATTTTTCCATGAGCCAATCAATGCCAAGTTTAACTATATGAGAATGGAAAAATAGTATCATCATTTGTAGTTTTAAATATATTTATTAAAAATATATTGCATGATTAATTTAACAATATTTATTTAGGATCATATATATTAGTATAAATTGTATATGTTAGGTTATAAATTTGGGATTAGTTGTGACTTAAAAAAGTGAAAATGTGGGACAGGCGACTATGTATATATATTATCGTCTCACTTTGTGATGTACCACATCACATTACTGATCGACAAATGCTACGCGCAGCTGGCCTGTTTGCTCAGGCCGTCGCCGCGCCGTCATCAGCTATGGCGGCGGCCAACAATGCTTCTAGTGGTGGCAGCGAAGAAGAAACAAGGTACCCGCTGAACGCGGAGTCGTACCGCCTGCTGTGCAAGATCGGGAGCGGCGTGAGCGCGGTGGTGTACAAGGCCGTGTGCCTGCCGCTGGGCTCGTCGGCGGTGGTGGCCATCAAGGCGATCGACCTGGAGCGGTCGCGCGTCGACCTCGACGGCGTGCGGCGGGAGGCGAAGGCCATGGCGCTGCTGTCCCACCGCAACGTGCTCCGCGCGCACTGCTCCTTCACCGTGGGGAGCCACCTTTGGGTGGTGATGCCCTTCATGGGCGCCGGCTCGCTGCACTCCATCCTGCGCCACGGGTTCCCCGGCGGCCTGCCGGAGCCGTGCGTGGCCGTCGTGCTCGCGGAGACGCTCCGTGCGCTGTGCTACCTCCACGGGCAGGGCCGCATCCACCGCGACATCAAGGCGGGCAACATCCTGGTGGACTCGGACGGCGCCGTCAAGCTGGCCGACTTCGGCGTCTCGGCGTCCATCTACGAGACCATCCACGCGTCGGCGTCGGCGGCGCTGGGGCTCGGCTCGTCGGCGTCGTGCTGCTTCAACGACGTGGCGGGGACGCCGTACTGGATGGCCCCCGAGGTGATCCACTCCCACGTCGGGTACGGCATCAAGGCCGACATCTGGTCGTTCGGCATCACGGCGCTGGAGCTCGCGCACGGCCGCCCGCCGCTCTCGCACCTGCCGCCGTCCAAGTCGATGCTGATGAGGATCACCAGCCGCGTCCGCCTCGAGGAGAGCGCCGCCGTGAGTAACAAGATCAGCAACAAGTTCTCCAGGGCGTTCAAGGACATGGTGTCCACCTGCCTCTGCCAGGAGCCGGCCAAGCGGCCGTTGGCGGAGAAGCTCCTCCGCCACCCGTTCTTCAAGGCCGCCTGCAGCCGTCGCTCCAGGGACTTCCTCGTCCGCAACGTCCTCGCCGCCGTCCCCAGCATCGAGGAGCGGTGCAGCAAGGACGACGACGCGGGGAATGATCTCTGCAGGTGTGTCGGCGCCAGGGGCGGCGGCGCACGCTGCGTGTCGCCCTGCCGCCGCCACGCCGACGACGACGTCATCGGCGTCAAGAACCGACGGATCAGCGGATGGAACTTCAACGAGGACAACCTGGACTTCGATCCGACGACCGAGGACCCGGCGGTGGAGAAGAGGTGCCTTCCGTTCGAGGACCCGTTGGAGCTGCACGACAATGACTCCACCGGGGTTGGAGATAGACGGGCGCCGCCGCATGGGGATGGCGATCAGGATCACGGGAAGGCGGCGAAAGCGGTAGGGTTTAAGGAGCAGCAGCAAGTGGTGACTCGGCAGCTGATGGCCGTCCTGCAGAGCCTGGAGGTGCAAAGGGACATGGTGACGCACGTGTTGCAACGCACCACCGGCCGCTTCGATGATGTCGTCGACGGCGTTAATGGCGGCGCCTGTGGTGTGAGCGTGACAGCTCCAAGGGAGGAAGAGAGGCTGCTTGGGTACGTCCGGCAGCTGGAGCACGGGGTGGAAGACCTGAGGAAGGAGGTCGAGGAGGAGATGGCCTGGAACGCCCGGCTGGAGAAGATGCTGCAAGAGAGGGCTGTCATTAGCGACGATGAGAAGAAGATAAACTCGTCTCATACGTCAGCTGGGAGCAGTTAGTTGATGCTGTTCCGGTTCCGTTTGATCATCAAGGTCAAGTGTATTTTACAGTATCACTCACTCCATTCTAAATTAATTATTTATATATATATATATATATATATATATATATATATATATATATATATATATATATATATATATATACTATTTTGTAGTCGGCTGCAGAATAATCGATTCTCAGAGCTACTTTGAGTTACGATAATTACTATGTTAATTTACGAGATTATAGTAACTCCTTATTAAGTTGTTTAATATAACGTTATGGTAAATATCCCCATGTGTTATAGTAACCCAACTATCGTAAATATGTATTGACATTATCGTAAATTAGTATATAAAATTATAGTAAATGGAGGTGGCTACAGAATAACTTATTTTGTAGTCGGCTACTGAATAGCCTCTCCCTATATATATATATATATATATATATATATATCCTTGATGTGATGATTGCAACATTAATTATTCGGATGTAGAAGACCATAACAAAGAATATCCCGAAGGATAAAACTGTGCGCGACGAAGGACAGCACAAAAAAAATATACAGTTACTCTACTGTAGACAGGATAATTATCGAAGCACAACTTTATTCAATCTAGGTAATAATAAAGGAGAATAACTGAAGACACCATATATATATATATATATATATATATATATATATGTGGTTGCGCTATTTAGTACATGGGTACCGAATAATATTCAGTACCCGAACCCACCGCGCGAACCCGCGCACGCCCGAGAGTCCGAAGCCAAGCGTCCCTGTCCGCACGCACGAAGGAAGACCGCGTTCCCTGTCCCACGTTCGGAACCGTCGCCGTGCGGTCCTGCCTTTTCTTCTCCCGTTCCCCCGGCGTGTTCTCTCTGTCTGTGTCTATCGGGGCGCGCCGGCTGGACTACCGCGCCGCCGCCGCGGTCTCCCTACGACAGGTGCAGTCTCCATCGGGCGCCATGTCTTCTTCGTGCTCTTCACTGGCGACGAGCACTACCAGGTACGCCCCCTTCTCCCTCCCACCCCTCCTCTTCAACTTCCTGTGCGAAACCGAGCACCCAAACCCTAAGTTAAGCTATTTGTTTGCGGATCTGATCTAATTACACATGTATTATGTCTACCAACCATGTTCAGAAGCCAGAACAATGAGAAGAGCATGTTCCAAATATTTGAGATAAATTGCAGAGAGTCTCAGACACTGGTCGAAAACAGATTTATATAGGTTTCATGTAAGTGAAACATATTAGAATTTGTCTGCATTTGTAAAGAGTTGGATTGCATGCCACTTATGTTCACTTTTAACCAAAAGAAAAGGCATGTCTGACACACATTTTACACTCAGCAGTCAGCACCATGTCTCATATGATTTAAAAACCCAATCAGGCAGGGGAATGGCAGGTGGGCAAGCTTTCGTAGCATTGCGAGTCTACATTAGATTAGAACAGTAAAAGAGAGATTAGAAATTTCTGTAAAACCATTGTTTATCAGTGTTTAGAACAATGCAAGGACATGAAATCGGCCTTACAAGATTCTTCAGTATCTGTGCCATCGATTGTATTTTGTGTTCTAGCTGATCAATGTAAGTCATATGGGCAAGGGAGTAACTGCTTCACGGGCACTTCTTTTACTTGATGAATCCGATTCAGGCGCAGGTGTTTCCTCTGCAGTAGTAGGACTACTGCCATTTTCTATTGCTGTTCCAGTATTGGATACAGGTGCTCCGAACAGCTATACGTAAACACATATAGCTGTTGTTCTGTATCGAGTTTTTGCAAGTCAGTAACGATGGTTTCGGACTTGCAGTTGATCCATTTATATGAGTATAAGAATGTACTTTAATTCGGTAACTATGTTTATCTGTCACCATTTTCTATAGTATGTATAAAGTATCCTTGGCTAACTGAATTATTCTTGCATACTTATTTCCCATTTATGTCAGCTTGAAGGTCCTGTAGTCGTATCATATTTGAATGGTTACTGGATGTTACTTCAAGATGAATTATAAGTTAAACATTATTGATGTTTAGTAGTTCCAAAGTTGGTGTTAACTGTTCATGATACATGAACTTGTCATAGAAAGCTGAGATTTCTTTGGTACATCATTTTTAATGACCTACCTGGCACGATTTGTGACCAAAATGCATTGATCATAAATAATTGAGACTAGTTCACTATACTTTTAATGACCTACCTGGCACGATTTGTGACCAAATTAAACAAGCTGAGTGAACGAGATGAATTTTATCTTGTGGAGCAATGCTTCTGCGGGTGATGTCTTCACTTCTTCACTTGTAGTGGATTAGATCAGAAGTTATAATGTGTGCTTGTTTTATGTTTCACATAGCATTTATTTATGGCTATCCAGTAATCTTTATATGTTTCTGTGATGTTTCTCAGATTAATGATTATTTGAGTGAATCGAAGCTCCGCCACTAGTCAGTAAAGTTATTCAATCAGAATGGGTTGCCGGAAGCAGCTGTTTGGGGAGAAGAGCAATTGTAAAGGGGTTGTGACTGAATCGTCAGCATCGCAGACAATGCACACAACTAATGTGGCTGTGGCAGATGGAAGATCAGGACAAGGTCACGATGGCTTACCGGCATGTATTTCAGAAGGTGGAACATCATCGTGCACACCAGGCCATAACGAGGATGTTGTGGCTGGCATTTCAGAAGCCGGAACATCATCCAGCAGAGGCATGTTCTCACCAATGGCAATAGTTACAGAAAGCGAGAACGCTACACCAGATGCCAAAAAGAAGTACACCCATGTGAGTAGCTTGTTTGTGATATTTTAATAAGAAGTTCGAAGATTCTGCTCTGTGAATATGAAATAAAATTAGGTTTCAAAATTACCAAATGATCAAAGTTGTGATGATGGGATTCAGAAAATAGAGCTGAGAAGTATTCAGACTTGAGAAATAATGAAAAAAGTAAATGTACAAACTTGATAGTAGATTTGTGGTATATTGAAGGAAAAAACAAACTAGTGATACATACGAAGAGGAGCTTTAGAATAATTACTGTTATAAAAAGAAAGTGCAGAAGTAAATAAATGGTATACACCTCTGTACATGCACCGGTCGACAATCCTGCTCGTGTTTGCCTAGTTTTCGTCGGACCAACATCCCTAGATTTGTCGATGTGTGAGAATGAACGGGCGTTGCGAATGGGCATGAAGTCGTCATCATCACTATCATGACCAGCTGCAGAAGGCAACACATGCTCTGGTCGAATATGATGCTCAAACCTAAAAAAAGGCCACAAACAGATAAACTTTAACAACAGACTAAGAATTAACATTAAACGGCAATTCTTGGACATAAATAGAATTATAATAAATTGAAACACGTATGGACCTCTCCTGCGAGCTCTCAAAAACCACCCTCTTCAGGTTACACAGGACCCTATCCACGGTACGCTGAGCAGCATGAGTCCTACAAAAAAATAGGAAAAAATGAACCATGAACTTTTGGGAAAAAAATAAAACCAGGGGTATGGTTACGTAGAGGATAGAAGAAGCAGATTTTTGTGCAGCATGTTTGTACGGAATATACAAATTGGAAGAGTACACTTACATGCCTCAGACGATTATGATTGGTGGAAAATATAAACAGTACCTTCTCTGAGAGTGGTCACGAGAAGTAGGTGCTACCGCAGGGTTCTTAGAAGGGGAATGACTTGCATCTGAATACCAAAAGGACCGAAAAGGAAAATAATAAACAACAAAGGTAGATGATTTTAAGAATAGAAAAATCTTGTGAGCTTTCAGAACAAGATGAAAAGTGTTAATTAACAAAAGGACAAGCCGAAGTGGAATCAAAAGAATAATGGAAATTTAAGATAGCAAAATTTAAAATCCATGAATATTAAATTATTCTAGTCATTTGATAAGCTGTACATACATCAGATCATATAAATATAAATAAAAAAATCATAAACAAGATTAGATAAGCTGTAAATGAATGTATCTAATTTTGTCTAGTCATTTGTAAAATACTAACTCCATACTGCAACAGATTAAAATTATAGTACAGCCATTCCCTTTTGCACCTCTATTTCATGAAGCCGATGCAGAGGTTCTACCAGGAGAGGAGGGTAACCTCTCGTCTTGTCGCAAAGGGACCTCATACCTAAATGGGAAATGATCACATTAACTGAGAGAAAAGCAGATACAACAAATGGAAAAGGCCACTAAAATTAAAAAAAAACATGTACTGACCGCTGTTGAGTGCTCTCAAATACAAGCCTTTTTGGGTTGTCAGGCATCTTATCAACTAGCTCCAACCGGATTCTGAAGTCAATGATTAAGAATGCATTTAGAATACTGCATTCGTAGACTCTACAGCTTAAATTTACAAGCTCACTCCACAGAACAATGTAGTTGCAACTGCTGAGTCAATGTGAATGTATAAAAATAAAAAAATATAACATAATGGGACTATGAAACAAAGAACCTTTTAGTTGACGAATCAGGACCTTTTCCAGCGTGGGCATCCTGTGCAAATGCAGAATAAATAGAATTGCTTTATTAAACTATAATGACGCCATAAATAAAAAATACGTGTATGATCTGAACAAAAAAAAAAACAATGCAGAGCTGAATCAATGTGTGTGGTTTAATCTGTCTTATGTCTTCTTTTTATTAAGACACTAATTGAGTATGAGGCATACACACGCGCGCAAACACACAACACTGTACCATCACCACCCATGTACATGTGCACCTAAACCCAATACGAATTTATCAGAGGCATCTAAGGTCTCACAGAGTGTGGGTACATGCTTTGCAACTGATTACTGATGCACCAAGTCAGGCTGGTGGGCTGAGTGCACACCCGCACTGATAAAAATGAAGACCTTGATGTTGAGAGCTAAACACTTCCAAAAGTCAGCTGCCTAGCCTGCTTGCTATTTCTAGAATGCCACATAAAGATCGCTGGTAGGATATTTTGTCAAGTTCATATCCATGTATTTGACCATCTAACTTGTGAGACTGTAACGATAGGAAGTTTTTGTGCCTCTACCTCATGCTTACAACTGCAGTTATATATTCTACTCAGAATTAAATTTGAAGGGTTCAAATTATAGATGCTATAAGACAAAATATGTGGGGTGAGACATTGTAGCTTCTTCAATTAAGGGGCTAAGAGGCTGAGTTTCTATCCTAAACCCACGCGTTGTAAAAGGATATTAGAGCGTTCAGAGGCATTCATAATTTGATAGCTGGGCCTGTACATTTCACAGATGATTTACTGATTTAGTAAAGATCACTGGAGGTAGACAAGATCACTGGAGGTAGACAGCTGTGACTAATGTCTGAACTCAGGGTAGATGTATCGCTGTGCAGTTTCTTGTGGATTTACTGTATTGTGTTTATTAATTCCAAGGTATTGAACACATGAATACTGATGGGAGCACTTGTTGAACTACGAATACATGATATGTTACTCTTTTCAAATGAAGCAGCTAGTTCATGATGGTAAATAAAATATTTCACATGGACATTGAGGGACCTGTGATTCTGATTAAACACAAGTATGGAGAATATATTATTTCTTATAGACTGGATATCTGTAATTGATTGAGGCTGAATATAATATCATCTTCTAAAGTTCTAATATTGAAACACACATTGCTTTCAATGACTTCGGAGCAGCAAAGCATGGTGTATAGTTTCATACTTCGATAATGTGCTTGCCTTTTAACAAAGAGTACCCATATCAGGGAATCTAATAGTGAAACCAATTTGACACAAAATTAATGGGAACAACAAAGCGAGATACATGAATAAGGATACAAAGGAAACCTGAGGGACCAGGCGGCTCCATCCCAAATGATGCAAGCTCGGCAATCAACGAGTGTAATCGGCAATCAAGGGCCGGCGCAATGCGTCTGGGAACGCACAGCGCAGGGAGCGGCGCGGCAGGTACGGAGGCAGGGGCAAGCCGGCCGAGAACGCCAGGACGGGAGACGCGACGCGTTTGTGGCTGCACAGCCCTGAGCGGAGACGCGGCAGGACGCTGGGGAACGCCGGCCAAGAAGGCCCGGCCGGGCGGCGCGCTGCGTCTACGGCCGCACGGCGCTGGGGGCGGCACGGCGGGACGCACGGCGGATATAGGGGTAATTATTGGTTTATCCTGTAATTTACAAGATCATATCAAGGAAACACTAATGTATCTGAATACTCTTCTAACAATGGTATAGCTTAAAAATGTACAGCTGACTGCATTTTAGAAAACAATGAGATGCCAGCATAGCAAAGGAACTGCTTCTTACAACGCTGAGCAGCGACACGGCAGGGCGCGACGCTGGTGAAGGCCAACCGAGCACGTTCGACCGGGGGGGGTGGAGGGAAGACGGCGCCGCTTCCCCGCTGACCACGCGCTCCAGGTGAGGCCGAGCGGACGCCGGACTGAAGAAGGGCGACGGCGAGCTCGGCTCCAGGTGAAACTGAGTGAACGCCGGACGGGCGAAGGGCGACGGCGAGCTACTCGTGCAGCGAGAGCGGCGGCGACCTGGGGTGTGCGAGCCGCGGAGGCGCGGGTTGTGCGATATGGGGCGTGCGGGAGCTTCGGAGGCCGCTGAAAACCAACTCGGGTGCGAGATTAGAACGGGGAAGCGGCACCGGGATCGACCTGGTTGGCTCGGTCGGATACGATGAATTGGGTTCGGGTACGCATTATTATTCAGTACTCAGGTAATACATAAATATATATATATATATATAGTTTTTACTCTCCATCTAGTCATATGTAATGTCCAGATATATTACTATTATTTCGTAGTCACATGACATAAGCGATCTAGGATACGAGCATCGAGTGTCGTGGCAGGGTTTATGTTATCCATGGACTTTGCGAGAACCGTGCTTATTGGTGGCTGAGAAAGCCGCCGTGAGGTCCAGCTCGCCGGCGGCCTCCAGGGCGGAGTTGTAGCTCGCATCCATGGACGGAATTACGAATAGAAGAACCCGTGTAAGGATGGAGGAGGGGAAGAACAAGTCAGTGGTGTCTCATGGGTTGGATATTGAATGGGCCTTAATGGAGACACGGTCGTGGGCTACGTGACAGAGTTTACCTATGGGCCTAACACTCCGTCGACCAGAATCTCCCGGATCCAAACAGTGGCGGTGTCAATTTCGGCCTTACGTTGTGTCATAAAAAGAACAGAGGCTGTCTACATTGTCAAAGTGTGGTACTGCGAACTATGGTTTGTGTGTTTCTTTTCGTAAAACAACTAGTGTATCATCTCATACGTTGATAAAATGAAGCTGTACGTCTGGTGACCAGGCACCGAGCTTCGATGAAGCTGGTCTTCCGTCTTATGTTCAGATTTTTGTTTGACGGTGATTTAGCTGTTCCACAAAGTTTATTGAAAGATGCTTTTCGAATAAAATAAAAAAATTAGATAGCTTCATTTTAAATTTTTTTCTTAGAAAGTTTTTTTTTATTCCAGGCTTCGCCAAAGCATTGCACTCAGCAATGATTCATTATTCATATCTCTTTTTTTTAACGAACCAAGCAAGAGAGATATCGATTATATTAAAAAAGAACGGGAACTTAGACTAAGTAATGCAACAGAGCAACAAGACCCCAAAAGGTCAAACCATGACAATAACTAAAACAAAACAAAAAATAGCTGACAACTGAGAGCAATAACCCACTACTGGCCAGTTGTCGGTTGGATTGAGACCTCATCACGTGCTGCACAACAACATAATGCACTCGTCACTACTAATTGCCAAGATATGCCACTCCACGACCTCCACACCATTGCTCGCCGATTGCCGCTGCACCACCAAAACCTGATGACGAGACCGTCCAACAAACACACAATCGTCGGTCGTCACCGCTCGCGCCGTCATAATCGAAGACACCCCACACCAAGCCAACCACAGCCATACAGGATTAGCTGCTGCAGTTCGCTGCAAGCCGTGTAGCCATCACACCATCAGCTCCGCTTGCGCCGACTCACAACGTTGTCCCACATCGGACTAAACTCTGCCATGCAGAGCTAGCCGCCATGGTCCGCTGCAAACCGCCAAGTCGATAGATAGGTGAGCAACTTTTGACACTTGGGGACTACCAATGATTTATCGCAAGTTAAGTAACGCATTGCACTCAATGATTCATTATTTTCGTCTTTTTTAATGCAAGCTAGGCACTTACCACTTTTGACACTTGGGTCTAGCAGTGATTTATCGCAAGTTAAGTAACAAAGATCATATGAAAGTAGAGGGGAGAACTAAAAAAAGACTTAGTAGTTGGAAAAAGGAAACACTTGTCCATTGGGGTGGATTAGCGTTGATTAACTCAATGTTGATTGAATGAAAATACGCTTTTCCAAGAAAAAGAAAATAAACAGGATAGTCTCATTTGACCTTTATAATTAGTGCTAAAAAATAGTGCTATTCTTTAATAATGTGTTTACCCCGTTCATAATTGAGAAGGAGAAAGAGTTTGCAATGACAAAAACAGCAACAATGACAACCAATAGAAAACTTAATTAGACTGCTAACATAACCCATAGTTGAGACACAACCAGCCACCCATGACAAAAAACGACCCACAAACAACCACCGCCTGCAAAAATGAAGCACGACTTACAACCAAAGGTTCATACAAAGAACTAAACCTACACACTAGACCTCTAGACTAAAAGAACCCCACAAACTCTTAGGAGAATGCACCCACCAACTGGGGTAGGCAGGCCTGATTACTTGGGAGGTCTAATCGAGTGGGGATATCTCATCTACTTGACAAACAAGATGTAGTTGATTTAAGGGATACCATCATATCCATGTTCCCTGCATTATCAAGATCTGACTAAATCTCCATGTAACAAACTAGGAAACCAACATTAGAAAATCGAGATTTCCTTTGTGAACCCTATCTTTGGACTATATAAGAAGGTGTAGTGTGCCACCCGATTGAAATCATCGACCACCACCATTGGCAGCACCCAACACATTTGATGGGGATGCTCTTGATGACCGGGAGGAGCCGATGCTGATCGGCCATCGAAGATGAAAGATGAGAGGTGGCGGTGTACTTCGGCAAGCTTGGAAAATGGCGGCATGGATTCATGACAAGGAGCAGTGTTGTGGAAGTGTCTCTCCCTTGCTAATCCAACGGAGGTTTAAGTGGAGCAGGAGGTGGCTTATGCGGGGAGATCGAGGTGCGGCCTTGAGCTTGGCCATGGTGGTTTGTGGTGGAAAAATGGCTCGAAAGGCATAGGGAGAGGGCAAGAATATGTAGGGTAGTTGA